CTTCTGTATGTTTTCAACAGATACACTTAAAACAATACATTTGCTTGAGATTTCATACAGGAAGAGGCTTGGTTTTCAGCATGAATGTAACTGCTACAGACGTCTTTGCTATTGGTTTAAGAGAAACGTGAAACAGACCTACAGAAGTCCCTTATTAGATCATGCTCTCTGCCTACTGAGGCAGAAATGGGTATGTGGACAGCCTGGTGTGTGGCCACGTTCTTCTTTGGAGCAAGTAAGGCATCAGCTGTGTCATGATACCTCTTCTGCTGTGGGGAGAACATAGTTTACTTTTCTTACCGTGTTTATTTTTTTGTTGTTATTTTGTCTTATAGGAGCTAAAATAACACAAACATCAAGTCTGGTACTGAAAGAAGATGGAGAAGCTACCCTGAAATGCAGTCAAAATGATAATCACAATTATATGTCCTGGTATCTGCAACAGCCAGGGAAGGGGCTGCAATTACTCTACTATTCCATCGGTGCAGATCAGGAAGCTGTGGGTGATACTCACCCTGGATACAAAGCTACGCGGTTAAATCTCTCAGACTTCCATTTAGTTATTAAACCTGTGAAGATGAACCACTCAGCTGACTATTTCTGTGCCAGCAGTTTGGACACAACACTTCAAAGTCACTTGCTTTCTTTACATAAACTCTTCTCTCCCTCACCTTCCCTCAGGAGGGAGCAGCTCTCAGCACAGGAAAATGGCCTGTAGGCAAATAGCCTATTCAAAAACCATATGTTGCTGAGGACTTGGACTAAAACAGGTAAAGTAGGTGCAGTTTAATTGCTGAACTCTTTCTGAATCACCTGTTGATTCTCTATCACATTAGATCATTAAATATTGTTAATCAAATCCAGACATAAAATGAAGGAAATGGAAACTGCCATCTTCACATAGACAAATTATTGTCCCACAGACTATTTTCTTCCTGATGTAGAACAGTTAATTGAAATATCCATACTTACATACAAGTCAGAAATACTTCGGAGACAATGATTTGTATGAACATTCTAACGCCACTCTGGATATTATCATGCAGTGAGAGTCACAGTGATTTTCACTGTGCTTGGTAAGGTTACCCTAAACAGAATAAATTAATAAAACTAAGACTGTCAAAAGTAACGAGGACAGCTCTGAACAAAATATGATATAAGAAATGAAAGAATATGATATAAGAAAAGAAGCTAAGTAGAACTAACATGCTACAGATTGGCCTAAAATGGCAAAACAACCATTACAGCATTTGATAGGTGTAGACACATTCCTGATAAGTTACAGGTGCATGGAGGCCATAAAGAAAGAGATGGCATAAAGTAGTATGCAACTTAGAATGAATTCACATTCAAGAGAAATTCAGATTTCTGTTTATTCAGCTTACTGCCAGCAATATTCTGAAGTACATGCTTTACGTGTGTTACATCTGTCCCTTTATTCCTCATATTTATGTTTTGTTACAAGATACAAGACAATCTATGTTGATTTGGTTTACTCCTTATTTGTGGATGAGTTGTGAGTTATTGTTTTTTTCCCCTCCCAGGCAACTTTGTGATTTCCCGTGTTCAAAGACCCTAAGTTGTTTTGAAATTGAGCTAAGCCCTAAGCATCCATATTTTGAAGAAAAATAAAAAAAAAAAAGTAGAAGGATGAAGAAGCAGAATGTGAATGTAATTTTATCTACTGCAAGATTTCTCCCTGATGAAATATTTCATACCTGCCACAAAGAGTCTTATGGCTCCCACACACAAAGACTTACCAATGTATTTCCAGTTAAAACACATAAAGCAGCACCCCTCTCCCAGGTAGTGGTGTTAATGTTTTTTTGAATGGATTGATCATAGCATGAGGTACACTATGGTCTAAGCATTAAATTATGATGTTATAACAACATATCCTAAATTCTTAGCATAAGAAGAATAATCTGTTTCCACTCAGAGTTTTTATTTATTTATTTATTTATTTTAAAAAGCTGGAAAATCTTAAAGGAAGGACATAGAATGCAACTATTAAATAAATACAGACTCAGCATACACATTCTGACATTATTCTTATCCCAAATTAACATCATTTGAATTATGTTAAATTATATTGTAAGTGCTTTAGGGCAAAGGAATATTTATCAACTGTTATAATGCGTTGAACATAAATAAACACAACTTTCACACAGTTTTACCAAACCTGTTGAACCTTTATGACAAATTTTGTTATTGATGACTAGGTTGCATTTCTTCATTGGGAAAGGAACTATTGTATTACATGTACATCCCCTGGTGAAAAGGTGAAAGAACCTTTATCTGAGTCATTTAAACACCAACTGACTGAGTAGGGAGCAGCTTTGTGGGAAAGCAATTCAACACGAGTAAGCTGTGAGACTTTCAGCTAATTGAATGCTAATTACATTTTTGGTTGCATTAGCAAGAATGCAGTTAGTATGTTGAAGCACTTGCAGGGTTGTATTTGGAATACTACCTCTACTGTCCATACACCCCAACTCACCCTGTCCCAGCCCCCGTGCAACAGAGGTACCAACAAACTGGAGAAAGTCCAACCAAGGATCACTAAAATGGTCAGAAGGTTGGAAAAGAAAGATAAGACGAGAGGCTCAGAAAATCAATTTTGTTCAGCTTGGAGACAAGGAGACTAAAGGATAGCTAATTGCATATCTCCTCCTCCCTCCCCCCCCCCCCCCCCCCCCGGAGTTTTGGTGTCTTAGCCTGAGTTGGTGTCTTAGAGGGGCACAGTGAAAGGATAGTTAAAAAAAAAAAAAAAAAAAAAAAACCTCAGTAAGGGAAATTGATTAGACATAAGGAGCAAATGTTTTTCTTCTATGGTACTTCAGCACTCAGTTTCTCAGAGAGCGTATTAAATCTATTTCCTTGAGGATATCTAGAATTCAGCTGGACAAGCCCTTGTACAACATGACCTAGTTTTCAAATTAGCTCTATTTTGAACAGGAATTCATATTGAGAAACCTACTGACGTCTTTTTCCATCATTTTTTCTACAAGTCAATGTTTTTTATCATCTTGTTTTGTTGTTTTGAGACACCTACCAAACACCTGATTTTTTTATGTTGCTTTTTTTTTATTGTAGGTTGTTTATTGTTGTTGTAATTGTTCTAAATTTTAAAAGCAGGTCAGCAACCCTCCCCCATAAACCCACAAGTCTTTATTTTTTTTGGCATCGAACAACAGAAACTGCAGCTGCACATGCAAAACCATCTACAGACTTCAGTAGCAAGAAGATTGTGTGAGATAATGAGACAAAAAAACACAAAACAACAACAACAAAAAAAAACCCACAGCTTTCATAAGACCCATATATGTCACTATATCTGTCCAACTGTAACTTGGTGAACAGACAGCTGTGCCCAATGCCTCATCCTGAGAGGCTGGGGGGGGTGTTGCGGTAAGACGCTGGTGAGTTAATGAAACGGTTCTTTTCTGAGTAAATGTCAAACCGCATCCTGTTTTGGCTAAAACTCAACTGCTGTTCCCTTAAAGAGATTTTCAAACACATTTAGTCACTTAATCTCTGAGGAGAAGGACTTGGGGGTGTTGGTTGGTGAAAAACTCAACGTGAGACGGCAACGTGTGTTTGCAGCCTAGAAATCATAGAATGGCTTGAGTTGGAAGGGACCTTAGAACTTCTGGTTCCAATCCCCCTGCCGTTGGCAGGGACATCTTCCACTGGATCAGGTTGCCCAAAGACCCATCCAACCTGGCCTTGAACACTTCCAGGAATGGAGCATCAACAGCTTCTCTGGGAAATCTGTTCCAGTGTCTAACCAAAGTTATAGTGAAGAATTTCTTCATGACATATTCTACCCTCTTTTCAGTTTAAAACCATTACCACCTTCCTATCACTACAGTTCCTTATAAAAAAATCCCTCTTCAGTTTTCTTGTGGCACCCTTTGTTACTGGAAGGCTGCTATAAGGTCTCCCTGGAGTCTTCTCTTTCTAGACTGAACAACTCCAGATCTCTCCTGTCTTCATAGGAGAGGTGCTCCAGCCCTCTGATCTTCTTCATGGCCCTCCTCTGGACTCACTCCAACAGATCCACGTTGGGGACCTCAGACCGGAATGTAGTACTCTAGGTGGAGTATCACAAGAGCAGAGTAGAGAGGGAGAATCATCTCTTGACCTGCTAGCTATACTTCTTGTGATGCAGCCCAGGATGCAGTTGACTTTCTGGGCTGCAAGTACACATCTCTGTGTCATGTTGAGTTTTTTATCAGCCAGCACCCCAAAGTACTTCCACACAAGTCTGCTCTCAATCCATTCATCCCCCAGTCTGTAGTAATGTCTGGGATTGTGTTTTCTCTCTTGCCCTGCAAACCCTTCCTCCCCTCTCCCCCCACTCTCTCCTCTCCCTCACTCTCCTCTCTCCCTCTCTCTTCCTCTGTCCCCATCCCAACTCGCTCCCCCTCTCCCTCTCCCTCTCCCTCTCCCTCTCCCTCTCCCTCTCCCTCTCCCTCTCCCTCTCCCTCTCCCTCTCCCTCTCCCTCTCCCTCTCCCTCTCCCTCTCTCCCTCTCCCTCTCTCCCTCTCCCTCTCCCTCTCCCTCTCCCTCTCCCTCTCCCTCTCCCTCTCCCTCTCCCTCTCCCTCTCTCTCTTTTCCTCTCTCTCTCTCCTCTCCCTCTCCCTCTCCCTCTCCCTCTCCCTCTCCCTCTCCCTCTCCCTCTCCCTCTCCCTCTCCCTCTCCCTCTCCCTCTCCCTCTTCCCTCCCTCTCCTTCCTTCCTTTCCTTCCTTCCTTCCTTCCTTCCTTCCTTCCTTCCTTCCTTCCTTCCTTCCTTCCTTCCTTCCTTCCTGAGATATGGAGACTTCCTTTTATGCCCTATGTAATTTAAATATACCATAAGAACATGATCTAGAGTACCACATTACTCCAATAAGTAGAGGTCATCTTTGTTCACTTGTATATTCTCCCTAGAACTAATTGTATCCATTCAGTTCTTTGAGAACAGTAGAAATCAAACAGTTGTGTCATCCTATCATAGCTTATAAAGAAAATTACAGAGAAGTTTATTAAAGATAGACTTTAAAAAAAGATAATTTTGAAAGCAAGCAATAATAGAATTATATTGCCAAATCGCTGTTCTCCTGCCTTTGTTAGTACAGAAGGCTGTTTTCTGAAGCAAATGAGGACTTGTGTTCAAAGATTTGAAGCTTGCATCATATGTCCATCTTCCTCTTCAGGACAAAGCACATCTAGAATATTTACTGCATAAAGAAGGAAAAGAGCAAGAGATTAAGGATGTGCCACTGAAATTACTGAAGTCCAAGCAATGTTTCTTACATAAATTGTTTCTCTGAGTGAGAAAGGAAGAATGGGAATAATCAAGTTTTCCACAGTTCAGTCTATAAATATTTAAATTCTTGCAATGGATAAAAGAACTAGATGGTTTTATTTACAACAACAAAAGGATTTAGAATACATTATGTATCTAGATGGAAAGTGATTATTTGTGTTTAAGTAATAAAGTTGATAGGAAGAAAGGAACAGGGAAGGAGGAGGGAAGAGATAATGGGTAGAAGGAAGGAAGGAAGGAAGGAAGGAAGGAAGGAAGGAAGGAAGGAAGGAAGGAAGGAAGGAAGGAAGGAAGGAAGGAAGGAAGGAAGGAAGGAAGGAAGGAAGGAAGGAAGGAAGGAAGGAAGGAAGGAAGGAAGGAAGGAAGGAAGGAAGGAGAAAGTTTTCAACAACAAATCAATGGTGCCTACAAACATGGCTTTAAAGAACCATTACTTTTTCCCCTTCCCGTTCCCCCATAGGTTAAATTCTCTTCCATTTTTTCTTGGAGTGGTAGGTTTTTGTTTGTTTGTTTTCCTCCTTTGCTTTTCTTTGTCTATCTTACTTTTCTCTGTATTGTTTCACACTTTAATTGTTCTTTATTCTTTTATTTAAAGACACTATAGATTTTGGTAATTTTGAATTCATTGCCTACCTCCCTGTCACCTTTTCCCTCTTTTTTTTTTGTCTGGAGATCTTCCTTCTATCATCACTATTTTTTTCTCTTGAAAATGATGAAACACACAATATAATTTAAGAGAGGTGGGTTTGTATAAATATCAACTGTATGACTTTATTTTGCCCAGATGGGTCTCCCGTAGAATGAATTAAGACAAATGCGTACAGAGTAAAAAAACTCTGTTCCTTACCTTGGACCTAAGCATCATCCCCATTACAAATATCCCATACAAAATGCTCTTCAAAATGAGCATGATGTACAAAAACTTCCCAGCTGTAGCACTTCTTTGATAGTTTTCTGAAAAGTAGGGGGAAAAGAAGAAAATAAAAATCAACAGAGAAAACATTTTTTTTAACAAAATTTTCCTGGGCAAGGACATTACTTTTCAACCTGCTGATTAAGAAAACTTGTACAACGCTCATTTGCACAAGTTATAACTTGGCTGCCCTTAGCTTAAATATCATCTTAATTGTTAATTTTATTAGATTTCTCACATTCACAGTGGTGGGACTGATAAGGAGCTGATCTGAAAAATCAGAATTTGGAAGCATCAAATGAAATTGTATTTGGAGTCTTTCAGATGGGAATATAATTTATTTTAATTCTGCATTGTATTTAAGGAGACAACATGCTGCAGAATGTCTTTGCTGTCAGTGACCTACCAAGTGTTCTGACTTCTCACTAGAAAATCAGCATCCAGCTTTGCGCTATGAGCAGCTGTGCCACAGTGAGAGATATTTTTACTCCAAAATGCTGAGTTTTAGCAGCCAGTCTCATGGAATGTTTGATGAGAACAGACAGAAGTTAGATGTTCACACATATACAGTAGAACATGAATGTATATGTCCACACATACTTGCATCTATGTACACAGGCATAAACTGCCATGCCTGACAGAAAAAACAATCACAGGACACACTGAGACACTTTTACACAGGACACATCTCTCATTGCACACGTAAGTGTTTGCACAAAGTAACAGATACTTTGTCAAGAGAAGAAAAAAACAGTGATTTAGCTTACCTTTGAAGATAATACAGCCTAAAAGCAGAAGGAAAGAAATAGGAGTTATTATTTGAGCAGTGATATGTATCAGCTCACCTTTTCCTGTGTTTGTGCAATTATTTGTATAATGGAGGGTTGATGTAAAAATGAGAATGATATAGTTTTTAGCCAGTTTGAAATAAAACAGAATTGAATGGATTCCTTTGACTGGTTTCAGTTTTCTGGGTACTGACAGATCTGAGTTAAGTGTACTAGAACTGCCAAGAAACATGCTTGCAGTGATGACTACTTGCCCTAGACAAAGGAGCCTACAGAGGATGACACCCACACCCACATAAGTCTTACTCACCAGCATCACCATAGATGAATCTGTGTATTGATTCCTGTGTTCCATTCTTAAAAAAATTGGCAACACACTCAAAACGATTCAAAGGGTTGAACCATTCTTGGGATGAGATTCGCAGTCGACTGGTCAGTGAATAAGTATTTTCATATGATGTGGAAGTCTCATCTGTACCCACCCCTTCTGTCCTCTCAGCACCATTCACCTTCCAGACTAAATTGAGGGTGTCGGGGTAGAAACCAGAGGCCAGGCATACCAGTGTGGCTTTGCTCTTCTCTTGGATCTCTTGCTTTGATGGGGAAAAGATGGCCACAGCTGGTGGTTTGATTACATCGTTTTTCTCTGAAACAGAAAGGAATACAGCCCAGAGCCTCCATCAATGACTTTACCATCACACATGCAGATATCAAAGTATGGGTGTTTTTTGTTGATTTTGTTTGTTTGATTGGTTGGTTTTGTTTTGTTTTGTTTGTTTGTAGAAATCCTTGTATGGGAAGCTGTATAGTGAATTCACAATTCATTTTGACTTAAAGCACTGAGTATGCAGGACCATGATCTTTGGGCTAAAAGACAAGTATGTATACATTAGCTTAAAATTGTCTTTCCAGGGTAGTATGTACTACATATATCATGCTATATATGCCATTTGAGTCAAAGTCAATAGGATATTTGAACAGGATCTGGTATGAGGATTTTAAATGTAAACGTGCAGAGCAAGTACAAAATATTTTTTCTTATTCTTGACCAAATAGCCAAAATAATAAACATTAAATGCTAATTGAATACTCCTCCTCCTCCTCCTTTAATTCTCTGTGCTAAGTTAGAGAATGAGCAGGGGTCAAAGTGATCCTCTGCATTCACCTTCTGTCGGGTCTTTATGTCTCTGTGTATGCTTGTTTCCTCACTCTCTGAATCAAGACTTTTCTGAAATATCTTGGCTTATTTCACCTCAAGTCCTCTTTCTCTTTGTCTTACAGTTTTAAAAAGAAAAAGAAAACAAACTGAATTCCCCAGACCTACAATCTACTATTTTTTTTTAACCTACAAGTTTTCCCCAAAAAATCAGGAATGACAACGTTTTCTTTCTTAGCAAAGAAATAGCAGGCTATGTTTTCTTACCTAAGCCAGACAGTTTAATTTCTGCCACAAAATGTTGCTTATATCCAAACCAAAAGGACATAAAGCAGTAATAAATTCCTGCTTTCTGTCTGTTGAGGAAAACATGGATTTAAATTTTGAAGGCTTGATTCTGCACTAATGATAAAACTTCCACTCTGCCTGATAAGAAACGCGTGTATTATATCCTTAGTGCGAAAAATAGTGCAAAGTGCAAGTTCATTATAGTATGAAAAAAAGCAAATGGGACTTCAACTGTGTTTCTCATGCCATTATCACAGAACTTGTCAGTTCCACCTTTTCTATAAACATCACTCATTTTTTCTTGCATAAATCCATGGCAATGTGGAAATGAATGGAATTCAGAAAAAAACAGACATGTCTAAATGCTAGACAAGAATTCTTTTTACCGAAAGTCTACTTGTCTTTGTCTGACAATATAAATACTTGAGTGTTATTAATTAACTCTTTAATTCAGACTCTTCCCATTTGTCTTTTCTTATGCTCTCATGGATGACACTACAGATTTATCTCCCTTATTAGCATTTACAATTTTTGCCGATGTTCTCTCTCAGACTCATTTGACTATTTCCTTCTCCTCTTTTTCTCTTTCCTCATCTCTCTGCTAGGAATCCTTCTGAAATCTGAATAGCCAGACAGCAGGTAGACAACCAGAAATATCATGGTAAAAATAACTTCTGCAACACTAATTGGTGTGTCAGAAGCCAGACTGAAACTAACAAAGGGAGGGTGGAATCTTGACTCTAGTGAAATTAGTAGAAGCTTTATCAGTCACTTAATTAAACTAGCAACTTTTTTTTTTTTTTTTTTTGAGGAAATGCATTTTCCCACGTTTCGTGTAGGTGGACATGTAGGTCACTTCTCTTTCCCCTGAACTGGTCCTACCTTCCGAAACTATAAATGCTGTCAATTAGGAAAGTCATGGATGTTAGCACTCTATCTGCAACTTTGAGCTGTTTTTCTCCAGCAATGTATTTTCACCAGAGCTGGAGCAGGGTATATTCATTCACTCACGCACTTTCATGCACCACCATTCCCCTCTATTCTTAAATCTGTTGTGTTGCCTGTCTCTTTTCTCTCTATCTTTTCCTGAAGAATCCCACTGAAGATCACCAGATTTTACTGTTTTAGTTCCCATCAAAAATACATTTTCTTTTTATTTTAGAATCATAAAGGAATTATCTAGTGTTTGGTATATTTCTTTCTTTCTTTATTACACAGAACTTTAAAGTGTATTCCTCCTCCAAAATGTACTCTCTGTCTTTGATAACACACTATCTTATTTTTGATCCAAAATGGCCACCCCCAAATCTCTCCTCTACTCACTCATACAAAGCTCCACCATATCCACTCTGTAAGTCTTTGTGTAAGCAATATGTTGGTCAGGATTTTTTTCGTAGGCTTGAAAAATACAGTCACGTTCACCAGATGTCCTTATATTCATCTTAATATGCTCCAGTCAGAGATGGAATTATTTTTATGTTCCATTCTGCTGTGCTTTCATAAAAATGGAATGGTATATTTCATTCTAGTCTACAGTAACTATAAAGCATCAATAATGAGACATTCTGAAAAGAGGATCCTTCATCTGAATTGACTGAATTTCATCTTTCTCCATTACATTCCTAGAATCTTGTTCCTTGTACAAAATAAGTCACTTAGGACTCCCACTTACCCAGAACTGTTATTTTTGTTCCTTCTCCAAAATACTGGGTATTGATAAAACACAGTCTCACAGTCTAATATCAAAACTACTCACTCCTGTCTTGCACTGCTGTCCAGTGATAAATGTGTTAAAGGTTCAGATACGATTTTTTTTCCCCACAGTAGTAGCCAAAGGTTAACTGAAAAGAAGGTGTATCAATTATCTATATGGTAGTTATATCATAGCATATGATCCAAATCATAGCTCATTTCTCTGTCGTTAATAAACCATTAATAAAACAATTTATTGTTTACTCTTCTCTTGTACTATGACATCAGTATATCCTCACACTTTTTAGGAATTATGAAGCATAATGAAAAATCCATCCTTCTTTTGGATACATTCTCACTTTCCCTCCAGCTTCCATGTCTTTTGCCAGTTCCTTATGAATATATGTACATCCCTCCCAATTCTTCCATCCTTTTCTTTCATGGACACACATTCTATTTGAATATGACTGTAGGGATAAGAAGAAATCATAAGGATTGGTTCATTCTGCAGGTATCCTAATTCTGTGGAAAAAAAACTTGGTCAGGAATATAGTTCATTTCTAGTAGAAGACAACCCGTAGACTCATAGAACCCTGAATAGTCTTTGGGACTTCTGCATTTCAAAGGTAGTATATGTTCTTCCAGAATACACATACTTACAAGTCAGTCTTATTTGACTTGAGGTCTCTTCTTTGATTGTCTTTTCCTTCTGACTCCAATTTCTTCCATTAATCTTGCTTGCTTGTTAGTTTTCTTGCTAGGTTTATTAATCTGACAATATAATACCAACACATCCAATTCCCCGGGCAAATTTCATAATAAGAATGAATTGTTTAATTTGTCCCCTTCTTCTTCACAGTCCCTACTATTTCCCTCTTTCTTGACCTGTCTTTCCTGAAACATCATTGCAGCCTTCCTAATGAGGCTCTCCTGATTCAAGCCCTTCCGTTACACTTCTTTTCTTACCTAGAACAGTGAGCCATGTTCCTTCTTCAGAATATGGTATTGCTGCTGACCTTTACCTGCTGACCTCTGAGGAGCTTGCCCTGCCTTCCTCCTCCTTAATGTCACAGTTCTCTATTTCCTAGTCCTTCATTCTCAGAAAAGCCACCAATGGAACTGTTATACAAGCCACTGGAGATGCATTATGCTACTTCTGAAAGTAAAGTCTACAGCATTAAAATACTAGGACCATGGTGAAAATCCTGTCCATTCTTCCCTTGCAGTCACTTACTAACTTTACTTCCCTTTATTTCAAGTCTAACAAAAAGAAAAAAAAAATCATTTAAGCTGTGCTGGAGTTAGTCACTATTTTCCTTATGAACCTACAAAGACTTGCCTTTAGACAAGGAATTTATAAAACCCCTGACTTTAACTGCCCCAAACAATAACCAAGAGCTTCTCTTCTCTTCTCTTCTCTTCTCTTCTCTTCTCTTCTCTTCTCTTCTCTTCTCTTCTCTTCTCTTCTCTTCTCTTCTCTTCTCTTCTCTTCTCTTCTCTTCTCTTCTCTTCTCTTCCTTCTCTTCTCTTCTCTTCTCTCTCTTCTCTTCTCTTCTCTTCTCTTCTCTTTCTCTTCTCTTCTCTTCTTCTTCTCTTCTCTTCTCTTCTTCTCTTCTCTTCTCTTCTCTTCTCTCTCTCTTCTCTTCTCTCTCTTCTCTTCTCTTCTCTTCTCTTCTATTCTCTTCTCTTCTCTTTCATCTCTCTCTTATCTTCTCTCTCTTCTCTCTTTCTCTCTCTTCTCTTCTCTTCTCTTCTCTTCTCTTCTCTTCTCTTCTCTTCTCTGTTATAAGGTTATCTTTTCTGTTATCAGATGTTTAAACTACAAGACCTGTTTTCTCCTATCTCACAATTAATGTTTGTC